GCTATTAGGTTGGAGGCCATTGCTATGAGTTTGGAGGCCATTGCTATGAGTTTGGAGGCCATTGCTATTGGGTTGGAGGCCATTACTATTGGGTTGGAGGCCATTACTATTAGGCTATTAGGTTGGAGGCCATTGCTATATATTGACCCAAAGCCAATTGAATCAATTCCGTCTCAACGAGTGCAGTTCACCCGCCCAGAGGTGCAGTCACTTCAAGACATCACGGTGGAACGCCCAGGAGCTCGGTGGGTCGTCGAAGTCCGCTGTGACAGGAGTCCGCTTGAATTGGCTCAGCATGGCTCAGCTTCTGCATGCTTCTGCAGTTTTGGGATCTTGGCTTCACGCAAGGTCAGCGTCCATGCATTCGCATAAAACAATAATGACTTGCATGGAAGATAGGCTGGTGTCATTAAGTTTGATGGTCCACAGGTCCCTTCTCCTTACTCTTTTGTGCCTTTTGGTCCTCCGGTGGCTTATTTCCCTCATCTTTTAATCGTTGTTTTTTGGGTCTCATTGGTCTCGTGCACAGTTGTCACAGGTTCAACTTCTGTTTCGCGGCACAGCACAAGACACTTACGCGAGATTCTAGAGGACCACTGATGCGACCTCCCCTCCGAAAGTATTGAACGCAATCCCTTTTCTCAGGCCTAGATGCAATTGTTTTCACCCCTCACCCTCTCCAGCGAAGCAACTCCTGCAATATGTTGTCCCTTCAGTACCCGCCAGTCAACCAACTTCCCTTCTGGGCGCAGCTGCTCAGCTCTTAGGGTATGGTGTTTGCCGGCTGATGCAGGAGCCGTCGGCCCTCTCCTTCCCAGGAGCATCAAGGAGATTGGCAGCATTCGCACTTGAAGCTGAAGGCTACTAGAAGGCTTCAAGTTATTGGACTTCACTTGCTACAACCAAGCATGCTACTACTTGCAGGATACTCTTTAAAGGCATCGCTACTAGGAGCAAGGACGCTACTAGGGGCGCTCCTGGCCTTACTAGTCATTGCTGCTTGACTTCTTCAGGATTTTGTTTTTCGCGTCCAGGACTCGCGCTATGTTCGGCTCGGTCGACTGGCGCTTTCCCTCTCTCTGACAGCCCTTCTTCGCGTTTGGCGACAAAAAGTGACAATCCGAATCCGGGTTTGACAATCAAGGTTGATTAATGTTGATTAGCTGTTCGTGGATAGCAAGCACATGTAAGGAATTGTAAGGAGATGTCGTTTGTGTTTCTTTGTCGTTTGGGGAGTTAACTCAAGTCCGAAGAACAAGAATGCACTAGACCATCGGCGATACCATTGGCTTAAGGTGTAAAGGGTTGGCAGGTTATTTCTTGTGTGTTGCCCAAGTCTGATACAAGTGACATGAAGCGACCAGCGAGATTTCTTTCACAAGAAGTCTTGTCAACACATTGTTTCCCGGTTTCCGAATTGCACAGGAGCAACGTGGCGCTGGATAAGAGAGTCAAACTGTGCTGGTGTGCTTTGACACTGGATTCACTGGATAAGTCGTAAACTGGGCATCACTCGATCAAAGCTAAATAGATCCAGCAAACAAGTGCATCGCTTCTAGTAACAAGTGCCTTACTAGTAGTAACAAGAAGCTACTAGGAACAAGTGCATCGCTTCTAGTAAGTTGAAGTAAAGATGTGGGACAGACGCTTGAGACAACTATTCACAACCCGAGGGAAACGGACACGAACCTACCGTAGGTAGGCAGACATGAGTCAAAAGCCTGGACAGCCCAGTCTCAAAAAGGCGAGGCAAGAGGTTAGCCTTCTTGGTGCCTAGACTCTAAACTTGTTTTTATTGTGTTGCAGGTTCTAGATTGCGCTTTTTTCCCATGTGCTTGTCGTTGTTTTCTTCTGGTCGCTGTATTGTGTCCTCGATTTGCAATGGCTTGTTTGTATTGTGTTTGGCAAATTCACGTGGGGTATTTGTCCTCATTCTTTTTGCTGTGCTCAGCTCTTAACTTGAGAGCTACTCGTGCTCTAAATGGTGCTTTAGTCCACATTCTCCTTCTGCATTCACATAGTTGAAACCGATTAAAAAAGTGATGGGTACATGCAGTGCTGCTTCCCGGTGGTGATCTTGTGGCATGGATGAAACTGGTTCATTCCACGAAATTGTGAGCGTCATCTGAAACTACTGGGGGTCCTGGTCTAACTGAACCGTTCAAGAAGTCAGCTGTCAAAGTTCCGTCAGCGTCCTTGAAACATGTAGGTGCATTGTCAAGGTTTAAGTGCATCTTGTCGAGGATGATTGACAGCTCTCATTGCCAGGTTTCTGTGACAAAGTGGAAACACCGTGATGAATGAGACATCCCTCTTGCAACCATTGGCCTCGGGCCAAAACTTAACTTGTTTCAAGCCACCCCTGGGGCTGTTTTTGCTCCACAGCCACGCTTTGGCGCGGTCCCCGCACTTGGCAATGAAGCCGCAAGGCAGGGCTGGTTGCAGCAAGACACGTCAAAGGGTTTTGTGTCGATCTCAACAATCCCTGGCGACAGTATATACACAGACATGGCCCGGCCATACATTTACGCTATGCAAAGTACATTTGAGATCCCTTTTTCAATCCAAAGGGAATCACCTCGTGACGGCTTCTTTGACTTATTCAGGATGGCTGCTACGGTATGTGTTCCTTGGCTTTGGAGAGACCGGAAAATCTTCTGGCATTTGTTTGCAACAATATTCTGGCCATGCAAGATGATTTTCACATTCTTTAACCATCACCAGGACATACTTCAGCCCCAAAGTCAACAAATTGTTTGTTCATTGTTTTCACTCACAGAAATTGGTAAGTGGAATTTGCCATTGAAGGACAAACCAGCTGCAGACCTAAGGCAACTAACTTTTCAGATGTCATGATGTTGTCGGAACAAGTATGTCACTGGTTACAGTCACAAGACTGCTTGAGCTCATCAGATTCTTGGCAGCTGAAACATTTCCTGTTTGAGGTGCTGTGCCGCACTTGCCGCCCCTTACCTGCAGAACTGTGTTTCTGTGTGTGTTGTTGTTTTTTTTGGCCCTCCCAACCAAGGAATGGAACATGTTCTATCAAATGACATATCCTTGTTGTTCACATGTTAGCAACTGCTGGACGTTATCGAACACCTAAGCGTGCTTTTGCATAGAGGGAGGGCCTGACTGAGCACCGTCCGTTGTTCAGATGTGTGGGTGTAACTCAGAAGCCATGTTCGCTACTAGGTTACTAGGAACAAAGAGCATCGCTACTAGGAGCAAGAACGCTACTAGGGGCTCCTGGCCGTAATGCTAGGAGCAAGTAGCTACTAGGAGCAAGAAGCTAGTAGCTGGAGGCCATCGCTATTAGGTTGGAGGCCATCGCTACTAGTAGCAAGAAGAGTAGCTGGGAAGGACAACAGATACTGCCCTTCACGACGCAAAAAGCATGGACGTTCCGTGTTGGACGGACAGATTCGGAGTTGGAACGCGCAGAACACTGTACACATTTGCAACATGTTTGTGCACGTGTGCGTGCTCCCATGCAGATGTCCTTTTCTGCCAGAGTCAGCTTTAATGTGCTTTAACTAGATTTTAAAATATTCTAAAAGCTTCCGGATGTTTCTTGATCCTGCCATACAAGTCCTGTTTGAGCCCATTGATCCATGGCATGGGTCATGCAGTTGTTGAGTGTTGAATGTTTCGACCAGTTTCCTTGCAGAAAGTTGTTCGGTCGACAAGTTTCCTTGCGTGAGCCTAAAGGCCCTAAAGACTGCATGAGGTGGCAGCATCCTCTGCGAAGTTGCACTCGGATGGCCCTGTGACTTTTCGTGAACGCTTCGGGGCCTGTGACTTTTCGAGTGGGGCATCTTCAGTCCCCCCAAAGCTGATGAAGGGCGACTAGAAGCGTACAGGACACGAGGCCAACACAGCGTTATCCACAGTCCGAGGTTTTTGCATATTGCAATGTTTGGAATTTGCATCTGTAGCTTGCGTAAAGAATCAAGTTGTGATTTTCCCTCAAAAATGTGTCCTGACCATCCGGATTCCACAGCGTCCAGATGCATGTAGCTTCCTGTTTGCCTTTTATACCCTAGAGGGGATTGTGGGCCTGTTCTTGCAGCAGAGATATCCATTCACAGGATCTCAAATCCTGGAAGGCTTTGCACCTTGGAGTATTCCTCTTACCGACCTCTGCAGTACCTCACCTTCAAACTACTCCGTCTCCTCCGCAAAAAAGACCAGATCAGCGAAAGCACCACGTTTGGACCTGGGAACGACATGCAAAAATTGCATTCAGCCCAGGTGAGCCGATGGTTGAATTTCTTCAGGTCACGGCAATGTTCTCCAAGCTGTAACTTGGCATGGTTTGCAAGTGTACATGTTCCAGGTTTGACAACCCGGTCAAGAGCTTGTTCTCCTTTGTAGAGAGAGGAGATGGAACTAAGACTTGTGAAACTAATTACTGACTAAATTGTTGAATGGAAAATGCATGAACCATTTCGCAAAAATGTGAGCAACATTTTGTCCCACCTGGAAATCATGGGACCGGTTTCCGGTTGTGGATTGCGTATCCTCAGAATAAATTCAACGTGCTTCGTGACAGACCACCCACCCTTTGTCTTTGGAAGAGCAAGCAAGGGGCCATCAAGCCAGCCTTTGTATCAAAGTATAATTTCGACTGTTGAATATAACTGTTCAACCCGCACAAGCTAGAGACCTTCCTATAGTAAACCACCGTTTTGTTCTGGGCTAATTGCATCATACTCCAAGATGCAGAAAAAGAGCCCCCAAAAGAAGAAGCGCCCGAGTGGCTCTGTTGTACTGAGGCCTTGAGATTCTTCTTGCTAGTAGCGTCCTTGCTCCTAGTAGTACGGCCAGGAGCCCCTAGTAGCGAACATTGTTACTAGTAGCGATGCCAGG